TCTTCAGAACTCAGCCACTGAGGCATCTGGTGCCCCCCAGCAGCTATTTGACAGAAGGTGGCAATAGCACTTCAGGCCGGATATCTTCCTATTACAGGTTTCTAGTGTTTTTCTCTACGTTTAAGAATACTGTGATTGTAGGGGCGCCTGGGTGGCTCAGTCATTAGGTGTCTGCCTTCGGCTCAGGTCATGATCCCGGGGTCCTGGGATCGAGCCCTGCGGGGACTCTGCGTCTCCCTCTCCCACTCCCCCTGCTTGTGTTCCGCTCTCTCTCACTCTCTCTGTGTCAAATAAATAAATAAAATCTTAAAAAAAAAAAAAGAATACTGACATTATCGTTGCTTTCTTAATGCAAATCGTGTCTTAGTCACCAGTGGATATTTGACCTTTTGGTTGCTATGGTGACAGTTGCTGTGACATTTATGCTGCCCAAAGGTAGTTAATAGCTTTTCTTTTGTTGAATGTCAATAAAGAGAGTGAAGTGGTTTTTGATTCATCCAAACTATGCATTTAGCTTTGTTTTTACTAGACTCCAGGAGATATGGCATCTTTTTCAAAATCTCGTCTAAGATTTCAAATCATTATTCCTAATAGAACACCTGAGAATTAGAGTTCCTCATTCACTGGGGAGGAAATAGAAGACAATTTCTGCATTTCCATTTCTTTTGTTAGTCATTATAGCACATACCAAGCTGGCCACAGTTTTTCTCCTCGATTTGCATTTTTTCCCTCTTAGCGGGAAAGTGACATTCACAGCATTAAAGAGGTTGTAGCATAAAGAGCCATCAGAAATACTTTTTAGGACTCAGCCATCTGCTCCCTTACATCTGATGGGAGAAAGGAATCCCTGAAAAATAATTCACTTGCAAAGCATAGTGAGAAGCGTCTGTGTCTAGCTTTATTTCATAAAGAACAAATATAAACTCATAAAAGTTGAAGTGATTTTCTAATTGTGTGTTATATAGGTAGCCTACTTTATTTCTTGATTATATCTTATAAATGCTTTCAATAATTGAGATGGTAAAAAGGCCTTGAGAGAAAACATTACACACACGTACACACACACACACACACTGTATTTTCTCTAAATGTTCCATTTAGAAATCTTAAGACTTTGGCATTAGGTTATTTCCTGATATCTTACCCTAATTTTCCATCTACACAACTCTGTCAAGTAGATAGACTCCATTTTGCAAAGGAGAAAACCAAAGTGGCTAAGCAGCTCGTGCATGCTCACGTAGGCGTCCACAGTGGAAGCAGGATTCAAGTCCTGCTCCGACTGGTTCTCAAACCCCATTCATTCCACTTCACTGTGGTGTGCCTCTGGGGTAACGGACAAGTCCCATTCTGGCATGGGGTGGTGTCTAGATGGTTCCTCCCCAGTCTTGTCCCTCTCCAAAAATTACATAGGCTGTAGATATCAAACTTCAAAATGGATGAACTATATTTTTCCTGAACTTCAATTTAGAAATCTTAACCTGTAGCTTCGGGATTAGGTTATTTCCTGATATTTCATCCTAATTTTCCATCTATTTTTTTTTTAAAGATTTTATTTATTTATTTGAGAGAGAGAGACTGAGAGAGAGAGCACATGAGAGGGGGGAGGGTCGGGAGGGTCAGAGGGAGAAGCAGACTCCCTGCCGAGCAGGGAGCCCGATGCGGGACTCGATCCCAGGACTCCAGGATCATGACCTGAGCCGAAGGCAGTCGCTTAACCAACTGAGCCACCCAGGCGCCCCCATCTGTTTTTGGTTACTGTCTTTGCAATAGTCAGTTATCTTGTTATGGCCAGTGAAGAAACGCATGGACTTTTATGTTTATTTTATTTTTGTGCAAAAAGTATGACAATTAAATACACTAAGAATGTTCAAAACAAACAATTTTGTCAGTGATTTACTAAGTAGTGTTGGGTAGCAAAAAAAGAAATCTGGTGAATTATTGTTTGGTAGTAGTATTAATCATGATTTTAGTATAACTGATCTTCAGATAATTAATACCTTCCCACAAACTTCAATGTGGATTTGAAATATGATGGAATTTGACTTACTACTAAGTCATTTAGGTTAAAAATATTCAAAAAATAAAATATATTTTCCTGTGTGGCTTATAAAAACTACTCTCACTTCCTTTATTTCAAACCCCTTTGGAAAGTGAATAAATAATGGCTTTTTATTGTTCAGGTCACTATAATGAAAAGTTCCATTATTTCCAACACAAGTTAACAAATGTGACTTGCTATTATATAATTACAGATAGATAATGATAAATCCAGTACAACTTGACAAATATGGCGTGTTATCATTTACTTACAGATAGACAATGAGTTTTGAAGTCAGATATACCAGGAGACTGATCATGTGAAAGTCTTTAGCAAAGACAAATGATTCTAAGTATAAACTTCAGTGAATTTTTTTTCCTACAGAAATTTTGACATGAGTTGACTGAGAATAAAAGTAAAAGCAATAGAGTTTCAAGTCGGGCTACTTATAACATCAAAAGTTGTGAGCTCCACGCCTAACATGGTGCTGTGTTCCAGCACCTAACTTGGTTTTGAACAGTTGTCAGAGTAAGAATTTGTTGAGTGAATGATTTCCTCAGTAGTAGTATGTTTGATTCAACCTAAAAAAGTATTAATTATCCAAATATCAGTCGTGCTAAAGACTAAACATCAGGCTTTTGTTTCATTTAGGCTCTTTGTACCTTGAGGTGTGGCATAAAGAGAAGAGAAGTAAGTCTTGAAAATTCAGAACTGTATTATTCTTTTCTTAATTATGCCTCTGTAAGGGCACCTGGGTGGCTCAATCAGTTAAGCATCTGCCTTCAGCTCAGGTCATGATCTCAGGGTCCTGGGATCGAGTCCCACATCGGGCTTCCTGATCAGTGGGAAGCCTGCTTCTCCATCTCCCACTCCCCCTGCTTGTGTTCCCTCTCTCGCTGTGTCTCTCTCTGTCAAATAAATAAATAAGCTCTTAAAAAAAAAAAAAAAGGAAAACTGCAAGACACTATGATATTAAAAAAAAATTATGCCTCCGTAAATCCGAAGATTTATTTTTTAAAGAGTTTATTTATTTAATTGAGAGAGAGCGAGAGAGCACACATGTGCGTGCAAGTCGGGGGAGGAGCAGAGGGAGAAGCAGACTCCCCACTGAGTGGGGAGCCCAACATGGGGCTCAGTCGGGCTCAATTAGAGCTCAATCCTGGGACCCTGGGATGATGACCTGAGCCGAAGGCAGACGCTTAACCAACTGAGCCCCCCAGGCATCCTATAAATCCAAAGATTTAAATGAGAAGTGCCTAGGGCTTTTTAGAGTAGTATCCTCTTCCTGAGGGGTGCTAGAAATCCTTCCACCCCTACTCTGAGGGGCACTGCTAAAGTGGCTGTCCTCTGTATCCACCTTGCAGACTGTCCTCTGATTAAAGAACCATTGGCCCATGTTCCTCTTTGTGCAAGGACACCTGGGGGGTTGAGAGTCTGACTTCTGGAGAACAAGCATGGTTACATTTTGTATGCACTTGAGTCCTTTAGGAAGGACGGGCACAAGTCATGTGGGAATGACTGTCACTGCCCACATCCAGCAGCTGTGTGACCACTACCAAGCCCATCACTTCAGGTGCACTGCTGTATACTTCTGGTTTTAATATGACAATCCTAGTTCCTTTCCTTGACCTCCTTACTTTCCTTGATTCATTTCTTGCTCCAGGGTCATGCTCAGTGCTTTTGTATATTACCTTTCAGTTTCATCCTACTAAGGTGGCCATTCCCCCCAGGTTGCCTAGGGCAGTTCCCATTTATGCCTGTTGTCCGAATGTAATTACTGATAACAGCCCCTTTCCACTATATATTTTTTTAAGATTTTATTTATTTATTTGTCAGAGAGAGAGAGAACATAAGCAGGGGAAGCAGCAGGCAGAGGGAGAGGGAGAAGCAGTCTTCCCGCCAAGCAAGGAGCCCGATGTGGGACTCAATCCCAGGACTCTGGCATGACCTGAGTGAGCCGAAGGCAGACGCTTGACTGAGCCACCCAGGCATCCCCCCTTTCCACTTTAGGTAACAAATTACATGGACATTCTACTTAAGCACATATTAAACATAACTCTTAGGACTTATTTTTGACCAACTACTATCTATTTTTAAAGTACAACATGATATTTACATAATTCTTTGTCTTTCCTTTTTCCCTCCCCTCAGGTTTTCAGACTTTACACTTTAATTTTACCTATATTACTCTCTTCTGCTCTAAGCTCTGAGAGTACTTCCTAGCAACAGTCCTTAATGAAATTATTAAGGGACTTTGTGTAGCTCTAACAATTATATTCCAACGAGGCATTTAGAAATTCAAGACTGGCATTTAACATAATGTCATTCTGCAAAGACTAAACTGTAAGTAGTGGTGACAGATGCCCTAGCCTGATTATTTTAAATGGGCTTATAGATAAGTAAGACGATAATTATTGTAAATGTTCTTCCATACTAATTCAAGCACAGTGTATGAGGTTCAGGCTCTATTTTGTGTTTCATCTATCCCAATGACTTTAAGCAGAGCCGCCTTCTGCAAAAATCAAAAGTCAGCAATGTTGGTTTTCAGCATCTGTGCTGCCCAAAGTAGTTTCCAGTGATTGTATCTCCAGTGTATTATACCCTCTGTGAGGTCACAGGAATTTCCACAGAGCACTCTTTGACAGAATGTCTTAACCTAAATGGAATAGGTCCACTGGAGGGAACTCAAGGACTATGGAAGTCAGGTAGACAGAGGCTTAAGGGGACTTCGGTGCTCTTATACTCATACCACAAGCAAGTAGCTTCTTACCTCACCAGTTAATCCACTTCTCCCCAACCCTCACTATCACACAGTTCCAAAACTGCACTTAATTTTTTGGTTTTATTGAGCAAATTTATGTTGAACAATTATTTAAATCACCGGCCCTGAGGCATATCTTCTTCAAGTCCCAGCTTCCTGTTAGTGAACAAGTTTCCACTGATGTAGACACTTCCTTCATACCTTTTCATAAATTCGAGTACTGACAGTTTTATTCATGATATATTCCTAAAAGCAAAAAGGGATCTATTAGAGTTGGCAGACGACAGTTTAAACTTGCTCTCTCCCTCCTTCCCCAGACTCTCAATACAGGATGCACAGCAACTGAGTAACTTGAAAGGCATGCATCAAAGAGGAGTATCTAAAAAATTCAATTCATCGAAAACTCACCACTACCATTTTTCCATCTACAATTTGTCTTTTGATTGTTGTCTCTTTGCCAAGCCATTTTTGGACATGAATCATTGCACCACTGTTTAATGTTATGATGCTCTATAAATGCATAAAGGAATCAGTTAGAAATAGCAATTCACTACACTCTAACCTACCAAAAACTAGACATCTACTTTTTCATTTCTGTTTTGACATTCTTTTCCCCCAAATTCCCCCCTCAGTTCTTGTCATAAGTTAATATCAAATTAGAGAAGTCTCAAGAGATTATTCAATTAATGCTCTCCTTCCCCAGATGAACAATACCTAAACTGTTTGTGAATAATTGTTCTCTTCTATTGCTCTTTTATACAGTGAGAAAGAGAGATCATAAAAAAGTGAAAACATGTCAAATTTTTTGGGCCTGTTAACCATCAGAATAATTTGCGAAGGGATTGGCTTTAGAGATGTTCGGCAGTAATCAACAAAACAAGCCCAAACTGACTTGGTACTTAAGCAAATTAGATATGAATGAACCATGCTCAACCACCTTCTAGTTTTTTTTCTGGGTTATCTAGTTTTTTTCTGGATTCTTCCACCAGGAAGACTTAGTTCTTACCTTTACTTTCCGGTTGTCTGCTGTGGTTTCATCAAATTCTTCCCCCAGTTTGAAGGAGATCTCCGTGTTCTTGAAGGAACTTTCCGTCTTGATGTTCACTTCATCCCCATTGGCACTTATACTGATTCTTGGCTTTGCTAACCCTGCCAGGTTCTGGGCTGCTGTGCTCATCCCTGTAAGGCAACATGCCTTCATAAGACATTTAGGAAGTGCTAACAACCATTTTGGAAAGCAATTTAACGAGAATACATACTTCCTCCATTCAGGTTTTGGGTAATGTACCATAATTTCTTCAGTGCTCACTGTGATAGTGGGGTTGAGCCAAACAAGCCCATTCAGAAGGTATATCTAGTAATTACACTTGACATTTTGAAAAGCTAAATTCACTTTTGAGGCTATTGTGCCTCCTCTAAAATCTTCCAGACTCATGCTTCATCTAAAATGTGTATGTGTATGGTGCCTTTCAGGGGATCAGAACTCACGCTTTACCTCATGGGGTGTTATAACAGCAGTGTGGAGGTTGTAATTATCCTCATTTTAGAGATGAGTACACAGTGTCCTAGAGACGTAGAGAGGCTTATTCTAGGTGATGTGTCTGGTAAGTAGCAGAGCTGAGATTTAAACACAGGTTTTCTAAAAGTCTAAGAATTTTAGCACATTTAAAAAAAACAAACTAAGAAATACAATTTTCGGAGTATCTAAACTACTCTAAAAGATCATGACTTATAAAGTCCAAGCTCCAGGGTGCCTGGGTGGCTCAGCCGGTTAAGCATCCGACTCCTGATTTCAGCTCAGGTCATGATCTCTGGGTCGTGGGATTGAGCCCTGCGTCAGGATCCCTGCTCAGGGTGTCTGCTTGGGATTCTCTCCCTCTCCCTCTGCCCCCCGCCCTGCTCTCTCTCACTCTCTCTCAAATAAATAAATAAAATCCTTTAAAAAAAATAATAAAGTCCAAGCTCCTCTCTCATTTGCAGATTACATTCAGATCTGGCCAAGTAAAGAAGAAGTAGGCAACCTAGAGAATTTGGCTTAGAGCCTGGCCCTGTGGTTGGGGGTTGTCCACCGTCAAACTTGATTCCTGTAATAGGTAGGCGGAAGAACTGAGTCTTCTCTCTCATTATCAATATCGAACTCGATTTCACATTTAGATTGTGGAACTGACAAGACACACCTGACTGCAGAGAGGCAGTGTTAGCTGCAGATCACAGAAGAGAGAAGAGTGGGGTGGTTACAACGCGGGCTTTGTCATCTGTGAGCTCAGCATGTCATTCCTTTCTCTAACCTTCAGCTTTCTCAGCAGCGGAACACGGGTGACTGTAGTACTTGCCTCCTAGGTGTGCCAGGAGGTGAAGGGAAAGGACTTAGCATGGCGGTGACACACAGTAGGCACGCAGCTGTCCTTCTCCGCCTAAGCCCAGCTCCCAGTCAAACCAAGTGCTACTCTTGCCATAAGCCCAAAGTTTCTTAATGCCCCCAAATTTAAACTCAAAACACGTGAGTCTATGAATCCATGAAGAAACAGGGAAACAAGTTTCTTACAGCTCCTGGAGAAAGTGAATACTGAGTGTGAAAAAGGGACAAATGTTACATTATGAACACAGTGACTTACTATGCCTTGATCATTTCCGCCAAATTTAAAGAAGGACATTCTTGGCTTTATATACAGTTTATTATTGCAAGGGACTTCTCTTAATTAAATACTAAAAATTACTTAATCAAATATTAAATAATTTCCATTCTCCTAGCATTAGTGAGAATAGTTTAGTTGTTATAGGTCTGAGCCATTATAATTAATGTTTATTCAACTTGAGGATAGAGCTAAAGGATGAATAGGGTTTATACTTCTGAGAAATATTGTCTCTTGATGAACAACAATCAATTGTTGGTGAGACAGTCGATGAGTAAAAATGTTCCATTTCTCCGATAAAAAATTCAAAATTTTTCAAAATATTTTTAAAATAATCTCCCATATGTATGAAGACTCTAAATGTTAACCAAATTTCATTTGTTGCTATTGTTCTTTTGAAGTCACAACTAAAAGCAAACCTTGAAACAAATTTAGCAGAAAAATTTAATTATAGATATGATTATTATCTGTAAATTTGAAGCTAGGAAATGCTATTAGTTGAATTGATGAAGCTAGAGATAAACTCTATCCAGGGCTTAGGATGAAGAAGCATTTTCAAAAAGGATAAATGGACTTAAATACACAGATAATGACTAGAAGGAAGTATCTGTGAGCCTCGTATTCCAAAAAGAGACAATTATTACTAGTAACAAAAAAAATTAAAAGCAGATACATAAACTTTGTTCATCTTATATGACTATTTCCTAAGATCACAAAGGAGAGAATTGTAGGAAAATTCATTGTAAAATGCAAACCTAACCACATCACAAAATGTGTTGCTAGTTTCCAAATCTCGCAAGGGTATTTCTTACCCAGTTGTTTCATGTATTCCTCAAAGTTTTCACTGGAGATCAGCTCCCAGGTTCCCAAGAAGGGCTCAATCATGATGGAAAGCTTGCTGAGAAGAGGCACTCACAACCAAAAGCCCAAGAAACTTAGGGAATGCAGTGCTACCAGAATCTTAATTTAAAAGGCATCTTCATCATGTGACTTTTCTGAAATGACCAATGGGCAGCAGCAAGACCAAAGATTCTAGTTACCAGCATGACTCATTTTATTTACCTCCAAATTGGGAAACAAAATCAACATGTAAAGTTGAATGTAAGTCAATGATTATAGCTTCTAGGAAAGAGATTGACACCCGCAAGTCCCCTGATAAATATTATTTGTGGAATGGAGACAATTTTCAATATATCAGCCCTTTGAAATTTGAGTGCTGAGTCAACTCTGAAGGAATATCCCAACAAATGTCCAATAAACACCTGACTAAGGTTGTTTTCCCACCTGGTAACAGAAGCACATCCTTGCTTGGTCCATCTCAGCTGTTTTTTGTTTGGACACGTCATGGTACCAGAGCACACTCCTCATTAAAATAATATCCTCCCCTCCCCTCCCCTCCCCTCCTTGCAGGGTTGATGAACTGATACTAGTTAATGTAACTGAAATGTCTTCAGTTGCTTGGAGTGAGATGTAGAGTATTATTAATATTATCATTGTTGTTCATCAAGAGTAATTGCCCACTGGGAGGAAAGGTGACAATTACCATTGAAAGGTGTTTTGTGACTTAAGCCCTAAAAAGGAGGTGGAGCTAATGCTTAGAAAATTCATCTTTTAGGCTTACAAGGTGATCTTGATTGTTAAGATACTACTTGAAAAAAAAAATCAAAGATTACGGCTTGAAATTGTGAGGGGAAGTTTTAGAGAGAAAAACAGCATCTTGGTATCTGCATTCTAAAAGACAAAGGCAGTAGAATTTAAATCTCTGTACAATGACTTCTGAAATCATCTTCTGTAACCCACGTAATACAGGCTTTGCAATTTTGCCTTTACTGAAAAGGATTAGGTTCAGAGGCTCTAGATTTATATCTCAGCTTTGAATTCCAGTTGTTTTGAAGAAGGCTGGAAAATTAGGCACCAGAAGAAGAATATTCATACTGTATTCTGCCTGTGTCACATATTTCTTCCATTCAAAGAAATATTTAAATCATCTGTTTGTGGAAAAAACAAATTTTTAAAAAGGTTGATGTTTTGGCACCATAATGTTATAACTTAAGTGGGATAAAGAATTTTCTTTGATGACAACATGTAAAGAAGAAATTTACAATGCAGTATCTTTATAGATGGAATGGTTACTAAAATATTTGGAGGGCAAAACAGGGGAAGCAAAAACTCTAGAATCAGTTTCAGGAAACTGAGACCTCTCCCCAAAATAAATGCCTTAACAGTTGAAAGTATACTCAGAGGTGATGTTCAAATAAAGAACAAATGATCAGATCTTGCTTTACTGGTTCTAGATGTGTATTTACATTATCTGTTTGAAAGGCTAGCACACCACCATGGCTATATACGTCTGCCAGGGGGCTAAGGTACATTAATATAATCATCCTTGTCTCCATTCCACAAATAATATTTATCAGGTGACTTGCGGGTGTAAATCTCTTTCCTAGAAGCTATAATCATTGACTTAAATTCAACTTTACATGTTGATTTTCTGTTTCTCAATTATTTTACAAGTGCATCAAGCAAAGAAAATATTTCTTACTCACCTCCATATCCCTAAGACAGTGCCTGGTATACCGTAGGTGGTCAATGAATGTTTGACGAATGAATGACAAAAGGAATAAGCAGTGTTTATTTCATTTTAATTGACAGTTCCCCTCATTACTGATCTTAATCTCTCTAACAGTGACTATAGGCAAGCTTGTAATACATTGTTCTCTCCCAATCTGCTCGTGTAATGGGTCTTTTATTACCGTCATCAGATGGTAGAGGGATTCTCAGACGCCCTTTGTCTTTGCTCTGTGTCTCATTATTACCATATGAGTCTCTCTTCTCGACTAAGAAAATGTTCTACTAGTTCTGCTGCTTGCACCACTAGCCTTTAGCTTTTCTTGTTTGATTATCAAAACAAAACAAAACAAAACAAAATGAAAAAACACCATTCCACCATTCTTGTTATTTTTTCTTTGATCCATTGGTTGGTGTTTAACAATATTAAGTATGATTGGTAGTGTTGAACATCCCTCAAGTAAAAATTTTTCAAGTGAGAATGTTCTTTTTTTTTTTTCGGTTAAGCAGGACTTATTTTCATTTTTCAGACAACCCTCCTGTAACAACAGGTAGGTTTATTCAATTGTCTTTAAAAAATGGTGGCATTCTTTTAAAGTCAAGTGAGAATGTTCTTAATTGCTAATCCTAGCGAAGGAACTAGAATACAGTAATTTGTTATAGAACGGTCACACATCTTGTTTTCATGACAGTTACAATGCTTATTTCTCCATTATCTCCCTTTTATATGTTTCTCCAATATCTCATCTTCTATATTAACTCTTTTCTTGTGACATTTTAGATATTAAGTAGTTTTTAAAAAGGCTTGATTCTGGATGCCACATTCTCCACTGGTGAGGAATAGTGGTAAAAAATAAAAATATACTGGCAGCTACAGAAGTATTCAGAAGTATGTCTGGTAATGTATTGCTGTACATACACTATTTTAGCTGGAGCCACACTAGATTTATTTTCCAATTTTTTTTTAAAGATTTTATTTATTTGAGAGAGAGACAGAGAGAGAGAGGGAACACAAGCAGGGGGAGTGGAAGAGGGAGAAGCAGGCTCCCCGCCGAGCAAGGAGCCTGATGTGGGGCTCGATCCCAGGACCCCAAGATCATGACCTGAGCCAAAGGCAGACACTTAACAACTGAGCCACCCAGGCGCCCCTATTTGCCAATTTTTTGTTGTGGTAAAATACATGTAGCATAATATTACCTGGACCATTCTTAAATGTGCAGTTCAGTGGCATTAAATACATTCATATTGTTGTACAACCATCATCACCATCATTTCCAGAACTCTTTTCCTCTTGCAAAACTGAAACTCTATACCTACTAAACAATAACGCGATTGTCCCCTTCTCCCAGCCCCTGGCAACCACTATTCTTCTTTCGGTCTCTACGATTTTAACTGCTCTAAGTACCTCACATAAGTGGAATCATACAGTATTTGTGTTTTTGTGACTGGCATATTTCACTCAGCATGAATTCCGTAAGTTTCATCTGTGTTGTACCATGTGTCAGAATTTCCTTCCTTTTTAATACTTAATATATTCCACTGTATGTAAATACCACATCTTGCTTATCCATCTGTCAATGGACTTTGAATCCTTCTACATTTAATTATTGTGAATAATGTTGCTATGAATATGGGTACACAAATATCTCTTTGAGACCCTGCTTTCAATTTTGGGGGTATATACTCAGAAGCAGAATTGCTGGATCACATATTTACATTTTTAATTTTTTGAGGAACTGCCATACTGTTTTCTACAGCAGGTGTATCAATGTACAACACTCCCATCCATGATGCACAAGGGTTCCAATTTCTCAACATCTTCACCAACACATTGTGGTTTTTTTAAGATTTATTTATTTATTTTAGAGAGAGCGAGTGGGTGGAGGGGCAGAGGGAGGAGGAGAGAGAGAATCCTCAAGCAGACTCCCCACTGAGCAAGGAGCTGAACACAGGTCTCGATCCCAGGACCCGAGATCATGACCTGAGCGGAGCTGAAAGGGGTTGCCTGCCCAACCGACTGAGCCACCCAGGCACCCCTGGTTTGTTTTTTTAATAGTAGCCATCGTAATGGATGAGACATGGTATGTCATTGTAATTTTTATTCACATAATCACTACTGATTGGTAGTGTTGAACATCTTTTCATGTACTTATTGGACATTTGTGTATCTTCTTTGGAAAAATGTCTTCTCAAGTCCTTTGCCCATTTTTGAATCAGGTTGTTTGTTTTATTTGTTATTGAGTTTTAGGAGCTCTCTATACATTCTGTATATTAATTCCTTATCAGATACATGATTTGCAAATATTTTCTCCCATGCTGTGAGTTGACTTTTTACTCTGTCGGTAGTATATATCAACCCCATAGATATACACAGATTTTTAATTTTCATGAAGTCTGATTTGTCTATTTTGTCTTTTGTTGCCTGTGAAACAGGTTTCATATTCAAGAAATCGTTGCCAAATCCAGTGTCATGAAGCTTTTACCCTATGTTTTCCTCTAAGAATTTTATAGTCTCAGGTCTCATATTTAGGTCATGGATCCATTTGAGTTCATTTTTGCATATGATGGTAAGTAAGGGTCCAACTTCATTCTTTTGCATGTGATATCCAATTTTTCCAGCACCATTTGTTGAACACTGTCCTTTACTCATTGATTGGGTACATTCATTGAAAATTATTTGACCATGTATGTGAGGGTTTATTTCTGGATGCTCTATTCTATTCCACTGGTCTACATGTCTGTCTTTATGCAAGTACTACACTGTTTTGATTATAGCAGCTTTGTAGTAAGTTTTGAAATCAGGAAGTGTGAGGAATCCAGTTTTGTTCTTCTTCTTCGGAATTTGGTTCTTGGTGGTCCCTGTGGATTCCATATGAATTTTAGAATGGGTTTTCTCTTTCTGCAAAAAATGTCACTGGGATTTTGATAGGGATTCCATTAGATCTATAGATAGCTCTGGGTGGGCTTGACATCTTAACAATATTAAGTCTTCCAGTCTATGAAACATGGGATATCTTTCAATTTAGTTATGTCTTTTAAAAAATTTCTTTTAGAAATGTTTTGTAGTTTTCATTTTACAAATCTTTTACCAAAAGTTAATTCCTTTAAGTTAAATTAATTAAGTTAATTCCTACATATTTTATTCTTTTTGCTGCTATTGTAAATGGAAATTTTTCTTAATTTACTTCTCAGGTTGTTCATCATTAGGGTATAGAAACACAACTGCTTTTTGTGTGTTGATCTTGTATCCTGCTGCTTTGCTGAATTCCTTTATTCTAATAGGTTTTTTTTTTTTTAGGATTTTATTTATTTATTTGGGACAGAGAGAATGAGAGAGAGCACATGAGAGGGGGAAGGGTCAGAGGGAGAAGCAGACTCCCTGCCGA